CGGTGGAGAGGAACCGCCTCAGCCCCAGGCCACCCTCCCCGTGGGCCGGCCACAGGGTCGGGGAGCGGTCCCAACAGGCCCGACGGCAACCCCGTGTGTGGGGCCTGGCCTCGTGGCACGCAGGGTCCCCAGGAGACACCTGCGGTTCAGAGAGGGGACGTGCCAGGCCCGAGACACACAGCCCTCAGGTGAGGGGGAGCCTCCGGGTGGGGCAGGGGGCCCTGCTCACCTTGGTGAGCAGCAGGTGTGGGAAGGGCTGGGGAGGCATTCCTCTGGGAGGTGCTCCGGGAGAGGGGCCACAGGAGAGGGCCTGCCCCGGCTCCACCAGCTTCCTCAGGCTGTCAGCACGGACCGCCCACAGCCTCTGGCTCGCCCCCAGCGGCAGGGCCCACTCAGGTTCACGGTGGGGCTGATCTGTGGTAAAGGAGGGACAATTCACAGCACAGAAACTGCAAAACTATTCCTGTCCGTGTCCCGAAGTGCAACAGAATATCCAAATTGGTTCGGAGCTCCAAGCAGGCAAGTGGGCCAATGGATGGAACCCATGGACAGATGGATGGACAGACAGGTGAAGGCCAATGGGTGGAGAGAGAGGGACAAACAAAGTGAGAGATGATGACAGAAGAACAGACAGGCACTACTGAATGGATGGACGCAGAGACATAAAGGATGGGAATAGCAGAGAGATGAATGGACAGAGGCTAAAGAACAGACAGGAGACTACAGATGAAGGACAGAGGGACAGCGTCAAAAGGAGCCAGGAAGAGACAAGCCAGGCTGCCTGCAGCCCTCCTTGGCCCGAAGCCGAGGTGCCGCATCAGCAGGTGGGGGCAGATAGCCTGTAAGTCCCCTGGCACGCTACACCCCTGCCCTGAAACCGCAGTCTCCTCTCTGGTAAAATCCAGAAAATCATCCCAGACACCCCTAGTGCCTGTGCAGGACTGAAGGAGCCCACATGCACTTGGACTTGGCCCCTTACCTGGGGCACCCTCTGTCTGGACACCTGGGACCTTCTCTCACTTTACAAGGCCGGGGGTGGGTGAGGAAAGGGCTACCGGAGGCAGGAGGAGTCATTCCAGGAGTGGAGGAACCTCCCTTGGGTTCGCTATAAGCTTCACTGACAAATTCATCCTGTAGCTTCCCAAGCAAAAGGCTCATAAAATGTCATCAATGTTCATAACGGTTCATAAAAATGATCAGTTGAGCAGGCAACTTCAAAATGAGGTAGAAATAAGTTTAAAGATGTTTTCACTGTAATTCGGCTCTAGGACCCAGATATTTTCAGAGACGTAAATAATAATACATATGGCACAGAACCAGGCTGGGAGTGGGGAGGACAGGCTCCCACCTTGGGGGCTGGCCCCTCAGCTTTGGCTGAGGAAGCTGGGCCTGTGCTGGGTGCCTACTGTCTCCTAGGCTGGGCCCTTCCTGTACCCTCCCTGGAAGCCCTGTGGTAGGACTTGACCCCACTGACCAGAAGCCACAGCCTGGGCTCCATCCACAGACTGACCATCCTTTGCTCATCTGGAATCTAGAACTTGGGTCTCCCCAGTGCCCTCCCAACTTCCTCATCAGGTCCCCTCATTTTTATCTCCTTGCTATGTCTTGGGTTCGCCGCCCCCTGCCTTCCATCATGCTTCCACAGCCTGAACCACTGCAGACTGGAGCAAACCTCCAACCTCCTGGGCAGGGCCTCCAGAAGGACCCCATCAAAACACACACTCTATCACCCCTCTGCCCAAGAACTTCGGGTGGCTCCTCACTGCCTGGAGCACCGTGTACTACAGGCTCAGCATCCAAAGTCCTTTAGCATTCAGTTGGACCAGACCTGCCAGCCCCCCGCAGCCCCACATCCCCTTCCCTTGTTCTTCCACATCTTTGCAGACATCCTCTTTCCCTAGTGAATGTCTCTACATCCTATGAGACCCCAGGCACACATCACCATCCTCATCTCTGGGTGGGTCTTTGGGAGGGTGGAGGGGGAGGTCGTGGCCTCATCTTTGGGCAGACTGACTCAAATGGTCAGTCCCATGTGGGAGGGTTAGGCTGCCCAGAACCCACCTGTGCTATTGTTAGGGCCTGGGCACAAACCGACCGACAGACCACAGACTAGGGAGGGGACGAAGGGAGGGAGGCTGGAAAGATTTAGAAGCAGACCCACGGGAAATGGAGCAACAAGGCTCCATCCTGCCCACGCACGATGTGTGGGGATAAGCCCAGACCCTACCTGCAGGACGTCTCTCGGAAGGAGATGTTCACGTCCCAGTGGGTGTGGACTCTGCAAGGAAAGAAGCGGAGGGTCAAAGTGGCCTCCAGGATCTGGTACCTGAACAGCAGGGTGTGTGTATGGCATAGCCCTCATCTTCCCCAGAGCGCTGGCCCCAAGGGAACTGGGTTGGCTCGGATTTGTCTCCAGTGCTATCTGGTACCAGCTCAACCAGCCAGTGGCTGCCACCAGGATAGGGCCGTGGGGCAGGAGCCGACTCCTGGTCTCACCAGACAAAGGAATTGGGAAGGACAGAAATGAGGCTGCCACACCTGTCCTTCTTGTTGCAGCGAACCCAGGAGAGCTGCCACATTGTGCTGAGGGCGGGGGTGGGGAGGGGAGCTGCAGCCTCTTCTGCGATCAGCCATGCAACTGAACCAAATTCCTAGTTGCTAGAGCTGCTCCAGCCAGGCTGGAACAGGTCAGGGAGCAAGCCCCATGGCCGCTGCCGGCACCGATGGTCCAGAGTCAGCCCAGGTGGGTGCAGCTTCCTGGGTCCCAGCTGCTACCAGTCTGCCTCCTGAAAGCAACCACCGCACTTGTAGGTAGGAGGGATGCCAAAACGAGAGGTCAAGTAAGGAAACAGCTCTGCCCTCTGCCTGTCCCCTCACTCATAGCCGTGTTCCCAGAAAGACCCTCAGGCTGAGGGATGGTGGTTGGAAGCCTGTGTGGGTGTGTCACCTTAGCAAGCGTGGGTAGGAGGGCTGGGAAGTGGGGGTGTTGGGGGTTTGGGAGGGTTATTTTAGGGCAGGAGATGTTGGAACACGTTGAAAGACTAGGTGGGAAGAGAAAAGGCCTAGAAACTCTGGGGGTGAGTAACATGTGCTGGATGGACAGACAAATGAATGGACCGACGACAGATAGATGGAGGCATGAAGAGGTGAGTGGACAGTGGGAGGTGTCTCTGCCAGGAGAGGAGATGGTGGGAAGTCAGGAAGAGTGGCCCCGAGCCGGGAAGGGACAGTGGGTAGCCAGGAAAGCTGCCTCCTGCCAAGGAGAATGAGCCTGAGAGTTTCAGGGACAGCTCCAGGAAGGGGGCTGCTCAGCTCCTTTCTCTCCGCCTGGCCGTGTTGGTATCAGGCCCTCCCTTGCTGGGTCTCCCTGACTGCCCTCCTCCGAGAGCCCCTGGCCCTTCCTAGAGCCTCCTTCCTTCCCCACATGGAACCTCGTCGACCCCCTCCCTCCAAGTGGGGGCAGTGTAGTTTCTCACTATGGTCTTGTGGCGTCAGGGGTTCAGGCTGTTCCAGCTTCGGCAGATACCAAGACATGACAAGCTCAACCTGGGCCCTGTCCCCAGGGCAAAGGGTCCTCGCCCTGGCCTGGCCTTCAGCTACCTGGAGACACCAGTCTTGATGTCCCGACCAGAGCCCGGGTGCCTCCCCCGAGCCTGGCCCCCAGTAAAAGTACCTTCTCCTCATGAGAGGGACATGTGGGGTGTCCCCCTGTTTCAAGCCTGGTTGCCGCCCACAGGCTGGGCCACTCCCATCGCTGTCACCATCACGGGACGAGAAGCTGGGGGTCAGCTCCTTCTTTAGGACCCGTGCAGTGGGCAGGGCAACTGTCCTCTTGTCTGCCAGCCGCCCCCGGTTCTGGGCAGGGAGGGAAGAGAGGAAGGTTAGGCTGAGCCAGGACCCTCAGGGTCCTGGGAGCTGTGCACTCCAGGCCCAAGCCTCAGGCAGGGTGCAGGTGACGGAAGCCCTCAGAGCAGCTGCTACGATCAAATAGGCACCATCCCTGGCCCCGCTACAGGGCTTCTAGCCCACAGGACAGGCCCGAGGGTCCACATGGGTCCCAGTGGCTGGAGCTGAAGACAAGAGCAGAAAGATGAGGCCCGGGTCTGCTACCGGGGAGCGGGGTGCAGTGAAGGGCTGTAGGCCCTGGCCAGGCTCCTCGTGACACTGCCTCGTCCAGACTCTGCACTCTAGCCGGAGTGTGGGGGTGCCCACCTGGAGGCAGACCCCAGCTTTCTCGGCCCCAGGGAGCCCCAGGGACCACGTGTGCACAACACAGCATGTCTGCATTCTGCCACGTGTTCAACGTGCAGGTACCTCTGTGTGCTTGTGTCTGCTGGACCGTCCCACAAGCTCCTGCATGAACCCCCAGCCACTGCCAAGTCCTGTCTTCTATTCTGCTAGTGCCACGCAGGGTCCAGTTCAGGGTTGTTTGGAGCCTGAGTCTGGGGCCTGATCCTGCTGACCCCTTGCAAACTGCAGGCCCGGGGTTCACAGGTCACTTGATGGGGAGCCCTTACCAACCTAGACCCTGTGTCCCATGGGCCCCTAGTGAGCCTACCCTCTGGGTCAGAAACAGAGATTCCATTTCTTCCACAGCACCTCCTTCTCCCCTCCCTACACCCATGTTGTGAGGATGTGGAGCTCATGTGTGTGCTGTGTGCTGGGAGATCAGAGCAGGAAGGCATGTCCTGTGCACAGACATGGAGGGTACTCCACACCGAGCTTGTCCGTGCTCAGAGCACACTATACAAGGTCACTATACACCAAGGCTCCCTACAGTGTCCTTAGGTCCTGCTGCCCCAGTGGAAGAAGAAAAGTTACTGATTATTTTCGGGTGGGCAGGAACCCTTTTCTCATTTAATAAGGGGTTGCTGTTTCAGGGGGGTGGCAGGGACCTTGGGATTATCTAATTCTCTCTCATCTCTTCAGTCACCTGGGGACCCTCGGACATCCTCTTTCCTGTTGCAAGGACAATGCCATCATACCCACGAGCTTGAGGAGGAAAGTGTAGAGGAGGGTCTCGCCTCACCCTGGACCCGTGTCATCCTGGACCTGAAGGACTGCTAAGCAGCCACCATCGTCCTGCCCTCCAGAATAAGGGACCTTCCCTTCAGACCCAGCCCACCCCAGCTCCAGATTTGGTCAGTGGCCCCAACAGGGTCAGGGGGCCCTAGTCTTCTCCCCTTGCTTGGTCTGGGGACCACAACTGCCCCCCTCTCCAGGCCCCCCACCGCGAGCCACAGTCTCCCCCATACTTGCCCTTATGAATCCACTTGGGACACCCTCCGTATTCCTCTCTGCAACATACTCAGTGAGAGACCCTGGACAGCACTGGGGCCGGGTGGGAGTCTGAGGGTAGGCCTGAGAGATGAAATGGCCTGCTTTGTGGCCCCTTCTGAGATCCCGGCCTTGGCCCTGTGCTCTAACAGCAAGAGCAGAGAGTGGTTGAGCCGCAGGTGCGAGGGCCTGTCTGGTCCAGCTATTGGGCGCCAAGGGCAGTGTTTTCAACAACCGCTGGCCTGTCTGAAGTGTGCACTGCTGGGAAGTCCCACTCCGGTCTGCCCTTCTCTAGCCTGTGGCCCAAGCACCAGGACCTCCTCTCCTGTCTTTCTGCTTTAATTGAACTATTCTCTTAAGAAGAAAAGGAAATGCATTTCCCTCTGCTTCTCATCTGTAGGGCGAGGAGGAGGGGAAAATGAGGGCAGTAATACCGCCACTTGGGATGAGGCCAGACCAGCTATGCTGGCCTGCGGTGGCTCTTGGAGGTGCTCCTGTGGGAGGGGAGCTGAGGAAGAGGGACCAGGATGGGCAGCCCTGACCCCGACCAAGGACAGGGAGCATACTTTCCTCCTACGCACACCCAAGACCTCAGCCACTCACCCCTGCTCAGCAGCGCACAGATTTGAAAACTCTGTGACAAACCTCTGTTGCTAGTCAACGATTGGCGCCTCAGAACACAAGGAGGGGAACAGGAAAGCCATCTTGCATGTCTGCACGATCCCTGCACCAAATATGCACACCCACATTGTGCCCCTGGGGTATCTGTGGCTGTGAGGTGTGTATGTACCTTCAGGCCTGGCTGTGGGGGATGGAGGAAGACCATCTCTATGTGGCGAAAGCGGGGGCTGGAAAGACAAGGGGGTCTGTGTAGCTCCTTCCTAAGGGAAGGGTACAGGGATGGGCCTGGGAGCGACCAGGTTCAGGAGAGGCAGGCCCAGGTCTGAGGCATCCCTCATGCAGGACAGGTACCCGGGAGCCCCAGACAGGTAGGCAGTTCGAGGTCGTGGCCTCATCCCTGCCAGACCTCCCCACCCCTCTCCAATCCAAGCAATGTCCCGGGGAAATTGATACTGGGCTCAGGCCACCTGAACCCCACACTCGTGTGAGAGACCTCTGGAAGGGTGGGCTAAGACAGGCTGGGACCATCCAAGCCGAACAGAAACCCCAGGCTAGCCTTGAGGGTGCCCAGAAGACTCTTCTCCAGTACCAGCTGCTTGAAAAGGTGCCTTAAGTGGAGCGGGAGCTCAGCTTCTTGCCCCAGGCAGGTACCGTAGTAGCAGGTAAGAGGTGGGCTGCCTGTGCGCACATACTCTGACCACGAGCTCATGGCAGACAGGTGTGTGGGGTAGGCACACAGGAGAGGCATGGCTGTATCCCCGTCCCCCTGTCCAACTTGTGTGTCTGATCTGGTGTCTGTATTCACAGGTGTGTTTGTGGCTTCCCCGCCTCCAGGGTCCATGAGGAAACCAAAACATCCCTTCCTCCTTCCTACTTCCAGTCCAAAGTAAAGAAGCTGAAGGTGGTGTCCTGGGTCCTCTCTCACCCCTTCCTGTGTGGGGGGCTGCAGACGCCAGCAATAACAGCACAATCCCAACCACCACCAGCAGCCAGGGCCCTAACCGGCTCTCCCCGAGCAGCTCAAAATTGGTTCCTCTCAAGATGCAATTTCTTCTTCAGATCAGTCCTCCAACTATGGCTGCCTGGAGGACATAGGATGTGGAAGACAGTGCTTCAGGGGCAGGCCCAGCACCCCGATCTCTGCTGCTCCCCTAGGCCAAAGAGGGCGTCAATACATGTCTACACTGGGTTGGGGGTCCCACATCAGCCTCCACCTCCAGATCTTGACACCAAAGGCCCACACTGCTCAGATTCTGCCCCCAACTGGGTTGTATCCTCAGACTCTCCTGGACATCCAGGGCCTTGCCCAGCAGGGTTCTAGCTTTTGGCATCCCAGAGACACAGGTTACTCACCTCCAAGCTGTGACCACCCCAGAATGTACATCCAGGCCAGCCAACAGTGTCACATCCCAGAACAAGTGTTACCTTAGGACCAGCCCCTCTCCCAAGCCAGGCCAGCTGACACAGTGACACCCCCACCCCCACCCCAGACCTGTGACAGGGCAGGGTCCCAGGCCCCAGGTGGATGGCACTGTCCAGGGAGGAGACCTTTACAGCCTAGGCTGTCCCCAAGACCTGAGAAGCAGCAGCTCCAAGATAGGGAATGGTCAGGTCCTGCATCCAAAGAGCGGAGGGCTGCCCCAGGATTCCCACCCAAAGCAAAGTCTCCCCTATTTGCCCCTGCGGGGGCTCACTCCTGCACACTGGCAGGGTTGAGGTTAGGACTCTGCATCCTAGAAAACAGGCACACGCTCCACAGGGGAGAAGGAAGACCCAAAGCCCCAACTTTTCTCCCCCATCTCACCACCGGGGAGGATATTCGACAGCCCGGACAGTCGCAGATCGGAGGGTGCACCTGCAGAATCCCCTTGGACATAAGCGTCTTCAGACTTTTCCTGTGAGGAGAGCCGAGGCAGGACCTGTGAGAGAGCAGGGCTGGGGCACAGGTAGAGCCGGCACGCACGGGCGCGCTTTCGGGGCGCAGTAAGCTGCACGGCCGGTTCCCCCTCCTGGCACGTGTAGGAACATCCAACTTCCGAACCCGCTCCCTGGCCCTGCCGCCCACCACACCCTCGCAGACGCCGCGGGGATCTGCGGGGCTCAGAAACTCACGATCCCGGCAAGCGCCAGCCCCTGACCAAGGGCGGCCTCCTCCCCGCCCCCTGCGTCCCTCCTCCCGCTCTCTACCCTCTCTCCAAGCCGGTCCGGGGGAACTGGGAACAGGGTTCACTAAGGTAGAGCCTGCGCGCCGGTGAGCGGCGCCGCCGGGACCAGGGCTGTGTCTGAGCCCTCAGCGGGAGGAGGGCGGCCACAGCAGAGCCGCGAGCCTCAAAGCCCAGCGCGACGCGGTCCCCAACTTTCTAAGGATCCCCCACCCCCGCCCCTGTCGCTCGCTGCGCTTCCCCCGTTTGCCTGCTCCGGCGCCCTCGCAACGCGCCCTCGGAGCCAGACTCCTGAATGCTCCGAGCAGGCTGCTCCCAGCCCCGCCGCCGTTCCAGCTCCGCGCGCGCCCCCGCCTCGACGCGCGCCCCCGCGGCCCCCACCTGCCCACGACACCCCTCCACCTTCCCTTGCCTTCCAGCAACTCGCACCCGCACCCCGGCCGCCCGTGGGCAACTCTACTCCCGCTGGAACCTGGTGGCTCCCTGACCCGGGAGGGAAGTTGGGTCCCGCCCAGCCAGCCTCCCGCCGTCTCCCGAGTTCCCCTAAACTTCCCCTGGGCCACACAGCCCAGGAAGCCCGCAAAGACCTTCCCAGTGGGAGGAGGGGCCGGCTCGTGTGCAGCCGGGAGCCCAGAGCACCGCGGCTCAAGCTGAGGTGGCGGTGGAGGCCGAGGGCGCTCTGCTCGGGTCCACCAAGGCGACCGTGCTGGGGGCGGTGGGGGGGGGGGAGTGTCCCCGCGGCAGCCCCAGAGTCGCAGCGCCCTCTCCGGGCGGAGATGGAGTCTCCCAGGTGGCAGAATGAGGGGGTCCGGACCCAGGGGTCCTCGGGGAGCAGAGGGGAGGGACCGTAGCGGCCTGCGCCCCCACCGCGGCCGCACCTTTGTGGCGGATGCTGCGCCTCCAGTCCTTGGCCGTCTCTCGGCCGCTGACGAACGAACTGGAACTCGTTGGGTGTGAGCCACTCGCCGCGGTGGCGGATGGACGGACCCTTGCTGCCTTGGCTGATCAGTTCACCCCTACCCCCACCCAGTTTGCGCACGGAGAGCAGCGCGCGATTGGCGCCGCGCTCCACCTCGATGCCCAGCTCGCCGTTGTCCAGCAGCGGCTGGAAATTGGGGCCGCGGCCGCAGTGGCTGAGAAGCGTTCGGGGGCCAGAGGGCCCCGGGGCAGGTGGAGGTGCGGGGCGGCCTCGTGCAGGCTCAGGTAGGCGCGCGGGGAGCGGAGTGGTGGAGCCCACAGCGCCTCGTAGCCAGCGGTCGCGGCGGGCAGCGAGGCGGCCGGGGGCAGGGCGGCCGCGGCCGGCAGCGGTGTCGGGTAGCCTGGGAGCGGCGGCAGTGGCAGTGCGGCCAGGGTCGGATGGAAGGTGGCCAGAGCCAGGGCCAGGTCTTCGCGGCCTGGGAGCTCCTTCTTGACCGCTGGCGTGACGGGCCTGTGGCCTTGTAGCCTGGCTCTCCGCCGCCGGCGCCACTTGCTCGGGCCTGGGCTGGCGTTGGGTCTCGAGGGCGGGGGGCCCGGGAGTCTCCCGGCCGCGCGCCCGCCCTACCCGCTACTGCGCCCAGGCACCTGCGGCCGCGCCGCCCGCCGGGCCACCATGGGCCGCTTCTCGGCCGGCTGCCGGGGCCTTGGCTGCCCGAGACATGGTGCTGCGGGAGCTCCTCTCGATCCCCTATCGACCTGCCGAGCGCCGCAGCCCCGGGGCCCCAGGGCTCCACAGGACCCTGGGCCACCTGCGCCCGCGCCCCCTGGGGCGGCCCCGCTCGCTGGTCCGCCCGCAGGGCCCAGCCGGGCAGTGGAGTCCAGAAGTCTCTGGCCCTGCGCCCCGCACCGCCCGGGGGTCCCAGGCCCCAGCCCCACCTCGCCGCCCCGGCGCCCCGGCTGCGCACCCGCGTACACTGGGGCGCGCCCGCCTGGCAGGGACTTGGGAGACTCCCGCCGCCACCGCCGCCACAACTTGGCCCATTTAAACGGCCCGGGCTTGGCGGGCGGGCGGGCGCGGGCTCCAGCAGGGGGTGCGTGACGGCCGACTGGGCTCACACGGCTGGCGGCGGGGGCGGTGGGACAGGGCTGCGCCCCTGCCCTATTTCCAAGTGCGCGAGGGTGTGCGAAGGAGCATACGCTAGCGGGAAGCCGCGCGCACCGACCGCGCCATCCTTGAGGGAGTCATGGGGCGCAGCTGGGAGTCCCGGGCTACACTTGGGGAGGGGGCGGGCCCAGGACCGAGAGTGGGCTCCTGGCGCAGGAGGGACCTGTGATTAGGAGCGGCCCGCTGGCCTGGCGGTTCTGGGTAGGAGTGTTTTCACAGCGGCGGTTGGTGGTGGGCATCAGTGTCGGGCGTGGGTGGTCTCCTCTGCATCTGCACGGTGTGAGGCTGTGGGTTTGTGGTGTGTGGCCTCTGCAAATGTGTTGGGGAGGTTTCATGTTCTGTGAACAACACGAAAAGGATGCTGTCAACTACCGCCGCCTTACTACTCTGCACTTTACATGCCTTAGTTCACTTGATCGTCTCAATATGAGTTTTCCTCATTATTCTCATTTTATAGATGAGGAGGGTGAGACACAGAGAGGTCAAGTAACTCTCCTGATGTCATACAGCTGTTTTAAATCCAGGCTCTCTGACTCCAGGACAAACAATATCTGAGCCATGCTGTGGGGCAGGAAGGTGGGCTAGACGCAGTCTGGTTGAGGGATGGAAGATGTGGGGAGGATGAGGGGCTGATGAGTGCGAGATTGCACACTTGAGCACATTTCTGTTCCCTAGTATGAGCCAGTCTGGGGAAGAGGAACCCTCTACACTCATGTCCACTTTGGTGCCTTGAGGAAGCAGGTCAGCCTTGGCCCAGTCCTGGCATGAGGGTGGCTTGTCCCTTGGTGTTCAACTCCCATCTCCCTGCAGGCCAGCAGCCCAGCATGCCGGCCTTGCAGTAGAAGCATTAGGAAGAGAAACAGAAACCTACTAATAGCTGATGAGACAGGTTTGTCTTTCTCTGATGTGTTATTCTGAACAAGCTAGAAAGTAGCCTCAGATCCCATCCCAGCGCCTAGACCCCCACTGAGATGCATTTGGCATGGCATTTTTGTGGGCATCTCTCTGACCAGGCTCTGGGGGGTTGAGCTGGACCACAGGCGTGCTTGCATGAGCACCTTGTGCAAGGGAGTGATGGAAGTGAGGGAGCACCCCACCCTCACCCACCTCCTCCCAGGCACCTGCACCAGCTGGGCATGAGCCTGACCCCTGGCTCCTGCTCTGCTCTCCCTTGCTGATGCACACTGCCAAGATCATCTGCAACTGAGGCACCAGCCAGCCCCAAGACTGACTTGGGGAGCAAGGTCTGGGCTGAGACCAGGAACGTGTCTGGGAACCTATGCACCCAAACCTCTGTATCCCCCTTCTGCTCTACTCTTTGTACATCTGCCTGCTGGGATTTAAGGGGCCAGGTGTGAATGTGGGTGTGAAAGTGAGTGGTCCTCTATGGTGTGCCACCCTCAGCCCGGTTGCCCTCCGTGCAAACTGGACACCTGCACATGCCTGACCCTAGGTGCACACTCACCTTCTGTGGTCCGCGTCTTCCTCTCAGGGGTGCTGCCTCCATGTCTAATGGATGCAGGAGGCTGTTCCTGCCCAAGAGCCAAGGCCCACAGAGGAGCCATCATGCTACGCTGTGGTCATGGCACAGTGTGGAGAGGTTATCAGGGCTCAGCGTGAGGCCAACTGTCTGGCTACAGCCCTGACACTGCTTTCAAGAGATGGTCCCCTCCACTCAGTTCTTCTCATGTTTGCCTGCACCTATTCACTGACCCTTAGGCCTCCTAACCCCTGACCTGTAAACTGAGGTTTGGGGAGGGAAGGCTAGTGAAGTTTATCTCTAGATCTGAGAAGGTACCACGTAGCCTGTGGAGGGGGCCTCCCTTCCCTACTGCAGGACCACCCTTGACTCACCCCTGACTTCTTTCATCCTTAACAGGCCCACAGTGGTGAAGGAGGGGCAAAGAAGGCCCCAACTCTGGCTTTCGGAAGTGGAACCCAGCTGGCAAGGTAAGGGGGCTAAACTAACCTAGCTCACCCAGCCTAACCTCCATGCTACTAGATGGTTCCACCTCTCTCTGGAGGATCAAGGGGCTTCCTAAAATGACCATGACTGGGTTCAAAGCTCCCTGCAGGACCCCTTCTCCTCCAAGGGCCACACCCTGACTTTCAGGAGACCCCCTTCTAGGGCTTTGGCTGATCAGTTCACCCCTACCCCCACCCCTACCTGTTTCCCCCTCTTCATGGGAAGTAGACCTCTCTGCCCACAGGATCAGAGCCACTTTCCCACAGGGATCAGGCATCCTTACTCCTGGGCATTCTACCCCTGCCACAAGGATCTGCTCACTTTCTTCCTCCTGTCCACCTGTGTCCTGGTTTGGCACCTGCTCTGCGCTTTTGACTGGAGCCAGAGGTCAGAAGGACAGAATTTTGGCTCTAGAACCTCCCCCCGCCTGGAGTTCAGGCCTGGCGGCACCTTCCTTGGGAAACGTCGGTGGGAGCGGCTGCCCAAACCCCTCCTCCGGCCCTCAGAGGCCCCGCCCCTGCCTTCCTCGCAGCCATGGCAGCACCCTCATTGCTCACGGTCCCCCCGCTGGGGGCCCTCTGCCGCTGGGCCGAGGCAGGAGCCCCCGCCATGGCCGCCGCCACCAGGGAGGGGGAGGGGGTCATAAATAACCCGCGGGGCAGCGCGGCCCCGGCGGTGCAGACAGCGACCCAAGACGTCCCCGGGGAGCGCGCGGGGGCGGCCCGCAGACCCTGCTGCCCCCAACCCGGGCTCAGCCAGCCTTGACCGCCTCTTCTGGAGCTCTCCGACCCAGTCCACGACTGGCGCTCCTGCCAGTAGCCTCCCTCCCATCCTGGAGGGCCTGCCTACCCCCATCTCCAGACTGTGCCCCTTAGAGCCCCTTTTCATCCATTCCTTCACCAGTCATTTATTGAGCACCAGATGTGCAGCCCCAGGGAGAGGGATCCAGAGGTGAGGCTGGGAGATGCAGAGGAAAGCAGTGTGTCTCTGGATCTCAGGTGCATCCTTGGGCCTGCTCCCTCAGCCTGGTCTTCCTGAGCTCATCCAGGGTGACTGTCAGGGTGGGAGAGCAGGCCCACACATGCCAGGCACGGAAAGGCATGCAGGGACAGCCCAAACAGGTGTGAGCCCAGCTGACACGTCTCTGAGGAAGTACATCCTTGTGTACACATCCGTGTCCTCAGGCAAGCACCCGAAGCCCGCAACAGATACGTACGACAGGGTACATTCTCAAAAGCGCATGCGCAGGACAGGGGCTTGCACGGATGCTGACATCTTGACCACACACGTGCACGGACAGTGTATGTGTTCACTTACAGCACAGCAAGAGGAAGGACACCAAGACCTGTGCAAAAACATCCGTAGACACACAGGCCTGCACCATGGGCTCCATTTGGATACAGCTGTCATATCTAAGACAGCATGGCTGCGGCAAGGGTCTGGTTTAGGAAGGGTTAACCTGTGAGGTCAAAGGTCAGTGGTGAGTCAGCTGGGGCTCCCCCAGACTCCCTGCAAGAGTGGCCAGAGCTTCCCTCCGGGAGGAATGTGTCTGTTTCCAGCTGCAGGTCAGACACAGGAGGGGCTGCCCTGCGCGGACATGCCTTACCTTTGGCCAGTCCCGAGCTGGCGGCAGGCCATGCCGTCTCCGTCTCAGGAGTAGAGATGTTTCCGAGCCCAGTCTGTTCACTGACCTTAACATATGCCATTTAAAGGAGAAAGAGATAGGACCTAGGGTCAACCTTACGTTCTCCCGTGGGTGTGCAGACTTGGGGCACCCACAGGGCACACGCTGCCGGAGAGCACTGGTTGCACGATACTCACCTGCTGTGTTACACAGAAGTTGGGACACACACACACTTTCTCAGACACAAATGAGCTCAACACACAGGGTGCGCTGGGTACACTGATGTCGTACAGAGGAAGTTGCTGGTCTGGCAACATGGGTCGGAGTCTGGCTACCACTGGCTCTGCTTGCTTGGCCCCTCTTGAGGAGGGACGAAGACACCCACTTGCTGGCATCACTGGGGACAGAGAGCAGCACCTGCCCCAGAGCAGCCTGCCGGGGGCTGTGGACCCTTCTTGGCCAGGGTTATGCTGAGGTAGGCTGACACAGGTGGTAAGGACGGCAGACTCTGCAGGGGCCTGAGATTTGGGTCCTCCTGGCTAGCCACTGAAGGACCCAGTCTTCTCTGCCCTTCTTTGGACCTTAGTTTCTCCATCTGAAAAATGAGATAGGGGCTCAAAATCTGTGGGTTCCCTTTGGCTCAGAGGAGAGCAGTCAGGGTAAGATGTGGCTATATGTGCCCTGGTCAGCACGGTGAGGCAGGCCTGGCACACCCTAGATGCTTTCTCCATAAATGGGCCCAGAGTGCAGGACCTGGGGGGTCCACTCCAAGGTAGGGCCAAGTAAAGGGCAGGAGCAGAGTCTTCCAGGGCCCCTAGGGACAAAAGAATCTATCCCAGTGAATGGGCATGAGGGCTGGTGTCACCCCTTTCTCTCCCTGTCGACATTGCCAGCCTACTGCCTGGACATGGCTTGGGGTGGAAACGGGGTTGGGGGGACCCCCGGACGCAGCTGGTGCCCTGCTGGGTGGATGTGGGTGCCAAAGCCCCACGTGGTCCTCATCCCTCATGGCACAAGCCTCTGCAGCACCAGTCACCCCCTCTTTCAGATGTCAGGTCAGGGAGATGACCAGAGTGGAGTAGTAGAGCTGGGTGCAGCACGCAGACTCAGCTCCAGTCCCATTACACCCCTACGTCCCAGGAATGTGCCAGCAGGGGCTGAGCATGAGAGACGAGGAGACCCTTACCTGAGAGTGTAGGGTTTCCTATGTGCTCGTGTGTGTCCATACTGTGTGCTTATATGTGAATGTGCTTCCCTCCTCCTGTGACCACAGTCTTGCTGTCCACATCAGCTCATAGTCAGCGTAGATCCCACATGAAGGCCTTAGGGACCCACGCTCCTCATTGTGGGGGTATAGGCCCTGGAGGGTCAATCCCAACTCGGCTGGTCACATGTTTACTCTTTGCATGGTCAGCTGTCTTGGCCTGGGCAGACCTGTGACCACAGTCCTGATAGAGACATTAGGATGTGCTGTCCTCAGAGTCGTAGGGCAGCGGTCAGGCTCCCATGGCGGGGAGTGGGTACTGGGGGAGGAGTGGGCTTGGATGTGGGAGGGGCCTTGGAGTTGAGCATGATGAGCATGATGGGGCAGAATGGGCTCCCGTGGGCTCTCTGCCAGGACTGCCAGGTGGAAGTTGAAGGAGAAGAGGGGACATTCAGGTGGGGACCCTCAGCACAGAAAGCCTGGAGGCAGAGGGAAACGGGAGGTGAGGGGTCAGTTGGTGGAGGGCTAGGAGGGTGGGAGGCTACAGCTGCTGTCTCCAGGCCCAGCTCTGAAAGACTCCCAGGCTGCACAGGGAGCCCAGACTGGCTCTGGGAGCAACTGTTAATACGTTGGACTTCCTGCAGAGTGTGAGCTCCCTATGAGCAGGACTTTTGTTTTCTGACATACCCACGTGTCAGCATTTGAGGGCTGCATACAGGGGTCAATCCTGGTGTGGCCCACTCAGCCCAGCTTGGCCTCCTGCCCTGGGGAAGCCCCATCCCTGCTCACCTCTTCTCCCAGCACCTGTCCACTGGGCTTCTGCCCAGGCAGGACTCTGAATACCCTCCTGTCCCCAGAAGATTCTCAAGAGTTTGGCCACAGTCATCCTCTTCATCAGAGAGAGAGAGAGAAAGTCCTCAAGCCTCTTGGCAAGGCCTCATCCACTATGTTGCAGCAGGATTGCAACTCTGCACCTGCCTGCGCTGGGAAGAGGGGTGGTCTGGGTGTACCTCACACGCAGTCCCACCGTCAGGCTCACCAGGAAGACCAACAGTCACTTTGACGGCATGGATTTGTCGCCTCAAGAAGTAGCAAGCCGAGGTGGTCAGTGAATTCACGATTTCACGAGTCCAGCCCAGGCTGGCTGTTTGAGGTCATCGACTTAGCCTGACCCCATCCAAGGCCCGGTCCTCCTTGCCAGTGGGCCCATTCCTCCAAGGGCTGGTTGAGTTGGTGACATCCCTGTGGGGTGCCCCGAATGCATTGACATCTGTGAGTGCCTGTCTGGGTGTGAGTTTCCTTTATTTTTATTATTTTTAAAGATTTACTTATTTGGTGGAGGGAGGGACAGACAGAGAGGGGGAGGGGAAGCAGACTCCATGCTGAGTGGGGAGCACAATGCGGGTGCCCAATCTCATGACCCTGAGATCCACCTGAGCCGAAACCAAGAGTCAGACACTCAACCAACTGAGCCACCCAGGCACCCCTGGGTGTGAGGGTTCCTTTATTACTGCAACCCACTAAGTCCTCCATGGGGTCAACTCACCTTCTGCGCGGAGTGGCCCCGCACACTGTGCCATGAGAACAGGAACTCTGTGATGCCCAACCGTGTGAAGTTATGCACGGTGCCCCAGGTGCAGTCTCAGAAGTGGGTAGGCTGAAGAGCACAGCCTGGTACGGGCTGAGACCCTGAGCAGAGCCCATCGGCAGAGGCCAGACCCACACCTACCTCCGGCAGGGGAGGGGCAGCAATTCCAGGGCTCTGTCCAAGGCCACAACCTGGCACTTTCTCCGGGGCATTTAATAGTCCCAGGTTGGCCTTGGGGGCCTTCCCACCTGCAGACTGGCTAGGCTGCTTGGGGGCCTGGGGGAAGTGGGAGCAGAAGAGGCAACCAGAGGGACTGGGGCTGGTCTGAGGGGGTTTTACCTCTGCATAGAGGAATATGGGCATCCCCAAATGTGGAGTCCTCATGCCCTGCTCAGGACAAAGGATCCTGACCTTTGATGCTCTGTGTACATGCAGATGCTAACAGAGGTCAGCGTGCTATAGACCCCTCCCAGGAGAACAGACAGACCATTCTTCCAGACTGGGTGGCCTTGCCAAAATATGAGTCTGCCACATGTTGGCAGTTGAGTAACTGTGTGTCTAAGGTCCAGCAGGTATATGTGGGCTCCTGAGCTCCCGGGGCCTCAGAGACGTGACAGGGTGATTCATGACTGGTGAGGGGCAAAGCCAGAACTCCTGCTGGGTTATCCCATTTCCATCCAGGAACATGGTCCTCAGCGAATTGTCAGCTTCTGCTTGATAGCGTGATTTTGGCCTCAATACATTGGGATTTTTCTTAGTGCTTCTAGTTGACGCCTTGCTATGTATTAGATGGGCTTCACTCATGGGCACATGCCCTGAGACCATCCCCTCAGATCAGCCTCGCCTCTCATTCCTGCCTCACCCACCCCTCAAACATAGGCTGGGTTGAGGGGTAGATGGGTGGGGGGATGGACTGACGGGTGAATGAGTGGATGATGGGTGGCTGGGTAAGTGGGTGGGTTCTACACTAGGCACTCTTCTCTTTCATAAGACTTCTGTGGTTTCCTTTACAGACTATGAACCTGAGTCTCTAGCTTCAGTCCAGACACTCAAGATAAGCAGGTGGGAGCAGGGCCAACATCACCACCAGGCACAGAGAGCATAGAACCTGGATCCCTGGTGCTTTTAGAGACGACAAAGACATTTTACTTTAATTTCCCTTAAAACCAGAAGGAAGAAAATAATATAATAGCCTGCCCTGTGCATCCACCCCACAGCCCCCTGAGGCTTTTTCCTACCGCCATGCTGTCATCCCCATCTCACTCGCAGTCCCTCAGAGAGCAGGCACCATACTCCTCCCCATTAGCCAATCAGCAAACCTCATATGTGCTCCCTTCTAGATCCCTTTCCTTCAAATACCTAGTCTGGCCCCTCTCACCTATGATATTTCTGTGATACTCCCAGACTCTGCCCCCACTCATCCAGTACCTGATGGGCACATCTGGCCAACTTGCTCTCCAGGGGCTCCTTTGGGAACAGTCTGGGACCCTTGGCCTCCAGGCCTTGCCTCCGCCCCTGGGCTCAACTTCCTGTTTCCCTGTCTTCTTCAGTGTCTGAGCATGGCTGAGTTGTTGCCTTTGCCCAGGAGCGTCACTCCCTAATATCACTATTCTGTGGCCCCGTTACCACTTGTGTAACAACTTCTGCATTTGGGAGTCCTTTCCTCCATTGAAAAATTTTAAATTATATTTTATAACCCTATTGATATAAAGACAAATATAATCCATGGTAGATATATTATTTAATCTTCATTATTATTATATTATTTTTTTTCCTTCTGGTTTTAAGGGGAATTAAAGTAAAATGTCTTTGTCGTCTCTAAAGGCACCTGTGAAGGTACCCGTTCTATGGGCCAGGGTCTAGCCCTGGCCCTCTTATCGCTCAAGGTTCTATGCTCTCTGTGCCTGGTGGTGATGTTGGCCCTGCTCCTACCTGCTTATCTTCAAGACTTACAGCAGCAACCCCTCCTCCAAGAAGCCTCCCTGGATTGCCTTCCTTTCCTGTCAGGGTGTCCTGCACCCCAGAACACCAGCACATACCCTGGACCCACAGGTTTCTTACTGTGTTGCTGAGGCCCTGGGCAGACGAGGGTGCTCAGAAGGGCCAAGTGGAGCCCCCCTGGGGATGCTGATTTGGGTGACTTCACTGAGAAGTGATTCTGGCAGGCTGGTACGGAAGCTGAGCTGGAAGTGGCAGTGGCAGAGGGAGGTGGTGTTGACAGAGACTGGGATTTTGAAGAAAGACCTGACCTCTAGGGAGGGGCAGGCAAGGCCAGCAGACATCACTCCCAGTTTTGGGTGAGTGGCAGGAGACCAGGCCCCGAGTGGCCCTAGCTGCCAAGACCTCCCCATCTCTGCCTGTAGGGACTCTGCCTGTGTCTACACCTGCAAGTAAAGCTGGACCAGGCCATCACATCTCTGGAGCCAGGGGTTTGACTTCCCTCTTTCTGGGCCCCCCTCCTCCAGCCATTTTGCCCCCAGGGTTTCCAGGCAGGTCCAGCTGCTCCCCCCATCCCCCAACCCTACTCTGGCTCTGGCCAGGTTCTCAAAGGTCTACCAGGGAGGGTGGGGCACAGACATGCACATGCCTGGGTGCACACCGAGCCTCCGTCTTGACCCTCGAGTGCCCAGCCTGGGGATTGAGTAGTGGCCACTCAGATTGGTGAGGTGGGGATGGGGGTCTAAGGGCATTTACAGCCCAGGTCCAGGGGATGACTAGGTTCCTGGTGCCTGCCCATGATGATAGGAAGCACTCAGATCCCTGGGCACCATCAGGCTGCTCTGAACAGCACGGGAGGGTTCCAGAGCAGAGGACTCACCCCCCTCCCCCAATCCCAGTGCCTGCAGCACTGAGGCCAAGACTAATAAAACACCCACCTCCCAGGAGACAGCTTTATCTTGTTGATTGGAAGTCTGCCAGCCCAATTTATGATGGAACATAAGCTCTCCAAATCTGAATTTATGCTCTGTAGTATAACGAGAGGTCAGTGGGATTAAAAGTGGGCTTGTGAGAGGGCCATAGGCAGCTCAGTCCTCCGCGCTGCCACAGGAACCTCATGGCCTGAGTCCCTGCACCCAAGGGAGGACAGCACAGCCCAGCAGCAGGACAGGAAAAGGGAGGGCAGGGGAGAGATCAGCCTGAGAAGGGGAAAGAGGATGGGAGGCCAGGCAGGAGAAGCGGACAGAGTGGGGCACGGAGCCTGGGGCTGCTGCTGGCCTGGACCATCAGTGTGACAAAGCAGGCCCTGGGGAAGAAGGGTAAAGACAGGTAGGGATCAGAGGCTTTCATGCAGGGACAGGGGAGCTTTCTCTCGCCACCAAGCCCTGGGCTACCCCTGGCCCTGAGAACGGGTAGGAGATGGCCCTGAGGCAGGCTGAAGGACAGAGTTCCGACCCTGGCCCCGGGGCCCAGCTCAGTCAGACCGACCTCCCTGTCCCCCTCCTCGACACCCTCTGTCTTCAGCACCCCGTGGAGTCCTGGGTGAGGTTGAGAGAGGGGTGTGCTCTGTTTAGGTGGGGCCCTGCACACCCGTCTAGCATGAGACTGACTTTCTGAGCTCAGGTAGACCCTGGCTTCAGAATTTATACAAATAAACGAAATGAGAAGTGCTGGCAGCCCTGATCTGATTACACAGTCATTCATTCTTTGGTCGTTAATAATTTGTGCAATAAAGGGTTTTGGCCGCTCAGTGTGAGGAGGAGGCTGTGGCCCAGCCTTCCCTTGGCGCCGGGCCGCGGGAGCTGGAAACATAAATTATTAGTTTCTTATCGCTCAGCCTGCCATCGCTCATGCTGCCAGGAGCCTGGCAGGAGCCAGCGGCAGTCCCACCGCCTGCCTTGGCCTGACTCTCAGCTGCCGTTTGTTGCGAGACTCTGGGTGAGGCCCCTCATCGCCCCCCCCCCCCAGCCCCTCACTGGTGGGACCCTGAGCCTTCAGGGTCTGCTTAGGGGCTGCAGCTGGCACTGAGGCCTATTCTGGAGCTAGGGGAGCTTTGGGGTTTGAGTTCTTGTGCTCTGAGCCTCAGGCCCTCCCTCTCTGTAAGTGAAGCCGAACCACTGGAGGTCGGTCAAGCAACCGCACCCTCCTGGCCCATGGTATTTGCTCAAAAAGGGCAGTGGTCATTGTGAGCAACACCACGGAGGTCCACAAACCGCTCTCCACCTTGGCCAACCCCCCAGTCAAGGGAAAAGAAAGGTCTGTATCCGGGTGCGTGTCAGCTCCTCTTGATATGAACGTGCCTTCCTGGGTGGGACTCAGAGCGTGGTTTGGACCAGAGTCAGGTGAAACCTTTCTCTGGCCTTGCTTTGTGGTGTGTCTTCCAGCTTTCTTCATTTCCCTGGTTTCTGTGTGGGCCACAGGAGTAACCAGCCATTTCCTGTCTGGGGTCAGGCTGTGGTGTCCCAGCAGGAACAGGGGTCTCCGCCCCGAGATTGTGCCCATAATTCCTTTTTTTAAAAAAGATTTTATTTATTTATTTGACAGAGAGAGACACAGAGAGAGAGGGAACACAAGCACGGGGAGTGGGAGAGGGAGAAGCAGGCTTCCCACGGAGCAGGGAGCCCGATGCGGGGCTCGATCCCAGGGCCCTGAGATCATTACCTGAGCCGAAGGCAGACGCTTAACGACTGAGCCACCCAGGCGTCCCTGTGCCCATAATTCCTAAAGTGGCCTCTCTGATTACATCTGATCTGTAATCAATCGGGGATTTCAATATCGAATAAGGGAAATTTTATGACAAATAAACAGAAGAAAACGAGTCCCCTTTGAAAATAGGTGGGCAGACACAAAGGCTCCTATTGCATGATTCCACGTACAGAAACATCCAGAACAAGTAAAAGAATAGGGAGAGAAAGCAGCTTAGGGGTTTCCAGGGTCTGGGCTGGGGGAGAAATGGGCAGGGGGGCTTCTGGTTCGGGGACTCCTTTGGGACACGAGATATTCCGCAGCAATGTTCTGGGGTGTGGTGGCACAGCGTTGGGAATGTACTTATGCTCATCACATGTTCAGTTGAAAACAAGTAATTTTATTTAAAACAAATAATAAACAGTATACAGAACATGAAAATGAACAATATGAACCAGAACAATATGAACCAGAGAGAAAGAATATAGGGGGAGGGGGTGAAACAATCTGGCGGGGCGTCGGGGTCTGGCGATGGAACTAAGGGCAATTGTACAAGGAGCTCTCCCCGCAGGGCTGTGGGCTCTGGATGTGGCTTTGGGAGCCCTGCGGGAGCAGGAGTAGGGGCAGGGGTTGGGATAGGGGCAGGGCCAGGGGCAGGGCCAGGTGTAAGAGCAGGGCCAGGGGCAGGGGCAAGGGGAGGGATAGGATCAGCAGTCGTGGCAGGTGCAGGATCTAGGGCAGGACCTGGGTAAGGAGCAGGAACAGAAGCTCCGGCAGGCGCAGGGGCAGGGGCAGTGGCAGAAGGAGCAGGAACAGGAGCTCAGGCAGCGGCAGGGGCAGGGGCAGCAGGTCTGACAGGGGAAGGGGCAGAAGCAGGAGCAGGAAAAGGATCAGGAACAGGAACTCAGGCAGGGGCAGGGGAACGGGCAGTGGGTCTGGCAGGGGAAGGGGCAGAAATGGGAACAGGAAAAGGAGCAGGAACAGGAGCTCAGGCAGGGGCAGGGGCAGCAGGTCTGGCAGGGGCAGGGGCAGAAGCAGGAGCAGGAAAAGGAGCAGGAACAGGAACTCAGGCAGGGGCAGGGGCAGACACAGGAGCAGGAAAAGGAGCAGGAACAGGAGCTCAGGCAGGGGCAGGGGAAGGGGCAGCAGGTCTGGCAGGGGTAGGGTTATGAGCAGGAGCAGGGTCAGGTACAAGAACAGGAGCCCAGGAAGGGGCAGGGGAAGGGGCAGCGAGTCTGGCAGGGGCAGGGACAGGAGCAGGAGAAGGAGCAGGAACAGGAGCTCAGGCAGGGGCAGGGGAAGGTGCAGAAGCAGGAGCAGGAACAGGAGCTCAGGCAGGGGCAGGGGCAGGGGAAGGGGCAGTGGCTCTGGCAGGGGCAGGGGAAGGGGTAGGAGGAGGGGCAGGAGCTGGGTTGGAGCAGTGGCAGGTGCAGGATCCACGGCAGGAGCTGGGTCAGGGGCAGCTGCCAGTTCTTCCTGGTCTGCGTCAGGCTGTCCGTGGGTGGGT